ATTATACAAAAAACGGCTTACTCAACAAGATGACTAACAAAAGATTCTACAGCGATTCTACAGTCGAAGTTGTTTCCCGCGGCCGCTTGGAGTACATTGTTCCGCACGTACTAATCTAACTCAAGAACGGTAAGTTGGACCTCAGGTTAGTTGAAGTAGACGACCTCCTTACTACCATTTCTATTTTTCGGGAATTTCAACAAATCTACAATTCGATAATCGGGTTTGTCCGCAATACGTTAAGCGATAATACAGATTAGGAAAATCTACAGATATAAATTAACAATACTTCTAAATACAATAAAATAAAAATGCATATAGCAGTTATTAAAGTATATTCCACTTCGTATCTTAATTCCCCACCCATAAACCTCTATAATCACTGTTTTCGTAGGAAAGCATGCTGGGAGTAGGGATTAATGAGGGGGACTACATAAGCTATTGTTGCCGCCGAGTCGTAGGATGAGCACGAGGCCAGGGCCACTTAGCAACCACAGGCAAAATTATTGCCAGTATTTCTAACTATTATAGCCTAAAACTACTATTTTGTTTAAAGCGAACACCACTGGCGTAGATGTAATCCCGGCGCTCCGTTTGATTTCGAGTATAATTGCAAAATAACTGGCAGGGGTATGGGTATATGCGACCCGGTGAATGTGACCAACACGCCAGAAAAAACAAAACTCTGCTTTTGCATTCATAGACACGTTTTTTCCAAAATAGGAACTCAAGAAAAACGTGGTTCTGGTGTCAAAATACTTCGAGGGAGTGTGTTTTTATGCATAGCATACTGACTTTGTAGTAGCTAATACGTCAACTTGAAATACCACCGTGCTTTATCGCTGGGGTTCGAGGGAAAAACAACAAGATTAAAACGAATGAGCAGTGATTCGTTGCTAAGACGAACTTTTTTTGGCTCGAATGCCACTCTGACGGCCCCCCTCACCATATCCTTCACGTCTTCCATCGAGGACAACGTGGGCAGGCGGAGCTATAGGTTTGAAGGGTTCAGCCTGTACCGAGACACCCCCGATAAGGTTTCTGAGTTCGGACAAAGGATATGAAAGCAGTTCCGCAGCGTTTGTGGCTCCTCCTGCACCTTTCACAGGCCTCTTTTCCGGAGATACGTTCATAGCTGACGCTGGGGGCAATAGCACCTGGTTTCTCGTCATCATGCCAGCGGCCCTCCACAGATCACCACCCTGCGTCTCCATAGAGGGGCAGGCCTGAACACTCCCTTGACCCGAACGGTGTGAGTAAGTCGCGGACTCAGCTGGACTGTTGACGGTGTCAGGTGAATGCTCAACCTGCACTGACGAGGACTTCAGATACTGCATCAGCTGCTGCGCAAACGCATGCAGTTCCGCCTTCATCTCGCCGATAATCTCCGTCTTCAGAGCTTGGCTGCCCGCAGCATCGGGAACTGTCAGCGATGGCTGACTGCAATTGACATTCGGCTTATCAACGCAGGTGCCCTGGGCCGACAGAACCATGCGCCGTATGTCCTCGCAAACGCTCTGGAGGTCCCCATCGAAAGCGACTGGATCTGCCGCTGAAACATTGCTCCTGTTGGTGGTGGCCTCGGATCTGGCCTTTAGGGTCTGAGACTCAGCTTCCGATGTAGATGTTTGCTGCGGAAGGCGGGGCTTCGTCCGGGTGACGCCCGTTTCTCTGTTGCCAGCAGAGGTGTTGCTGGTGTTCTTGTTGCCATATTGGCCGGTCAACGGAGAAAGAGCTGCGATGATTTGGCGTTTGAGGCTCTCGAGGTGACCGATCGAGCGCACAACCTCGCGTTGGCGGTCCTCACGCAGCTCGTACCTTTGAATTCAAGGAAGAAAATAGGCAGTCGAGACAATCCAAGATGAATCAATTAGGCAATATTAATTAAATACACCAAATTTCGGCATACATCTGGCCCACCACTCTTGGGCAGGAAGAAAATATTTAGCTGAATTGACAGTCACTTGTACTGAGGACTTCAAAACACACGCGGAATTCTTTTGACGGAAAAAAAGCCCGTTATAAGTGCAAATGTTATATTATGAAAAATCATTTTAATCGTGTTTTGTGATGCCCATGCGCACTAATTTTTCCAATAACCTCGCAATAAAGGAAGTGTGGCGGATATCGAACATTGCTTTCCGGCTTCCTTGCTCAATGCCCACTGCCTCAAGGTTATGCAACTTCGCAGGCGACTGGTTTTCTGACTCTCTGACCTGCAGACCCTTAATCGAATTCTACTAGCACACACACACACACGTGTCCAGATAGGGGATCAGATAAAAGCAGCTGTCCACGCTCTCTCACTCCCCTTCAGGCATGACTGGACGCATTCAACACGAACACAGGCTTCTTCAGTGGCCACTGCCCACCGAGACAGCAACCAGTAGTTTTGTGCACAATAAATCCCTCCTACGGGTGTCTTCTGTTTTTTACCTACGATCTGGGATTCGGCCTGACAATTTTAGTGAGTAGTGAGCACAAACACTACCTAGACCACGCAGAAGTATACAAAAGAATGGACGGCAGAAAATTGTTCTAGAGCACTTTCGGGGAATTTTGCGTTCAAGAAGGGTTCTTTGAAAAAATGGTTCACAATGCAATATCTTGCTTTTTTGCTTGTGCTGTGATCGTAGACGTGAGTAGAACAAATAAAATGTGGTAACAAAGCAATGTTTCTCAAGACTTCGGAGTAGCAACCATCGTCCATACATACAAGCTCAAAGGAGGCTACCAAGTCTGTGACAATTACAGAGATATCTCGCTACGCAACGGTGCAGAAATCCAGAAACGCACCTAGGGCAGGGAATTCGCCCAGAATGTCAGTGCGGATTTTGCAGGAGCCGCGGAATAATTGGCAGCTTTCTACATAAAAACAAACTTCGGAAGATCAACCTCTAAATAATCTCTGTAGATATAACGAAGGCCTTCGCCTCTGGAAAACAATAATGAAATTTGAAGCCCCAAAGCACTTCACACAGGTGGCATACCACCTTAACGGTGGGAGGATGGTTCGCGTCACGGACGACGGTGTAATCTCTAAAAAATTCCCGCAGACAATGGCGTGAAGCAGGACTGCGTACGTGGTCCCATGTTATTCAATCTCAAGTTCTTTGCCATTCTGATGGACGCCTGTCGTGATGAGTGGCCGGGAGTTGACATCAATCACCGAGTCAACGAAAAATTGTTCAACCTTCATCACCTTAAAGCGTTCGTATGAGTATCCATGACCTATTATTTAAGGATGACGGCGCGTTAAATAACACAATGGAAGAGGACCTCTTCGCTTCCAGGTACCGTAACTCCGGAATGACCACACAACACAGAGAAGACGGCAGTTATGTATCAATTCGTGCCCATTGCGAACTACAATGAACCTCATATCAACTTCAATGTAATAAAGTATGCATTGCTGGACAAATTTGTATACACAAGAAATACAATTTTAGGGGATTTCAAGACCGACGACGAAAAGCCCAACCGGATTTTCAAAGCCGTCAGACCTTCGGCTGACCAAAACCCACCGTTTAGAACCATCACAAAATTCAAAGTGTACAGATGATTAATTCTAATGACGCTGCTCTACGGAGTGGAGACAGACAGGGTAAACTTAACAGTCCAGGTAATTCCATCAGTTGCTGGAAGAAAGAGTGCCCTACACAGTGGTCCTGGAACGGACCGGAATCCTCAGCACCCATGCAATGTTGGGGCAAATCTAACGAAGATGGAGCGGGGGAGGATGGATGACGAGCGATCACCCAAAGGACTCTTATATGGAGTTTTCACAATTCTCAAAACGGAGGAGAGGAATAACGTAAGAAGCTCCCTCAGTGAGATCTGGGAAGACACCGCCTAGGCTCAGCTGGCTTGAGAAGGACCGGTGAAGACTAGAACAGCAACCTA